GAAGCCTGTCACAGTGCAGTGATGTGAGCTATATGAAGGATGAAATTAGAAAGATGCGGAAAGGTTTAGTGAAAGGCAGGGAGGTTAACCAGAAAAAAAAAGTTCCGGTCTGCTTCTCTGAACTGGATAAGGAGATAGAACATGATCAGTTTATTTCTGGGCTGTCATTAATTAGATGTGGTTGATTCCATTAGTATCCTTGAAGTGCATTTTTCATGGCACCTTATGGGCAATGTACACGTTGATAGTCTACACTCTAAAATGTCATCTGCGATTGATGTTCTTGCAAGTATGTGATCTATTTTTTCTGCTAAGGTGAAAATTATGATATACAGTGTTGTGTACTACAGGATTGAGAAGTTTGTGCAAGTTGTACTTACTACAGAAAAGAGCCTTAGGATATATTGCTGCTGTACATTATCTGTTTTCTACAAAACTTCTTTTTCCAAAATATAAAATTCTTCCAATTTTTTTCTTTGTACATTTTAAGGCTGATATTTTATGAAGAGTTTGTTAAGCATGGCATATACCACAAATAATCTTGCTAAGCTAAATGTGAACTGATAAGTTCGACTCTTCTGGCTCAAATATGTTTGAACTGTACTCACTCCTAGAACTGTATATAAAGAGCAGTCATTGTCCTATAGGCTAAACTTCTCAAACTATGAAACTTTGATCCTTTGTGTAAACAAAACTGTCACATTAAAGGCTTCACCCAGCTCATTTATTTTCCTAAATAAATGCCCCGCAGCAGTGGTCTAGTGGCTAAGGTGCTCGGCTGCTAACCTGCAGGTCACGGGATTGAATCCAGGCTGCGGCGGCTGCATTTTCGATGAAGGAAAAAATGCTGTAGGCCCGTGTGCTCAAATTTAGATGCACATTAAGAAACCACAGGTGGTCAAAATTTTCAAATCCCTCCACTACGGTGTCTCTCATAATCATATGGTAGTTTTGGGACGTTAAACCCCACATATCAATCAAACAATATTTTCCTGAATAGTACATCTCTCTGAATTTTCGCCATTCTTCTTATCGATTGTTGCTTTTCCATGTTCATACCGCTTCATGACTATATAATTCACTATTCTCTTTCTATTTTGAACGCTTTCTCCATAAATTTTGTACTACTTTATGCAATGATATAGTACGTACCTATGAGTTTGGTATTCTTTATGCATGATTGTTTGTTATTCCTGCTGCACTGCCAACTTATAACAGGGTCGGGACCTCGTCAAGCTCTCGAGCTTTTAGTGTCCTGTACTTCTCTTTTTAAAAGGAAATTGATTTATTGATTGATTCAAATGGAGAGAAAAAGAAAAGGGGACTGGTTAAAGAGAAAAAAAAAGAAATTGTGCACACGCTCAAGCACGGGTCAAGCGTCATAGTCGTTTTTCAAGTTCTGTTGATCGCAAAACTCTAAGAAGTGGCTTTTGGCTGGCTGGATGAAATTAAGTGGAAAAGTGTCATGAGCTTAGTTAGCATATGGAAGGTAAAAATCAATTTATTTAGAAAGTCCAGAGGTCTTTTCCGGCGGGTAAAACTATGCAGGAAGGCACAACAGAAGAAGAGCTGGAAGAATGCAAAGGGAAACATCCCAAAATGCACAGGCCCTTGTTAAAATGGCATTTCTACTGGCATTATCAACGAACTATAGAGCACAATACCAAAGGACCACTTTTGGAAGCCGTTGCAAAACACGAACAGGACAGGCAAAACAGAAAAATTGGCAGAAAATTTATGGGAACCTACGGCAATCTACGAAGTTAGAGGGGAGAAGCGTAATGTTTGTTCAAATATAGACCACATTAATTAATAAATTTATTTATTTATTTGTAAAACCCTCAGGGTACATTTGTACATTATAGAGGGGAGGGGCGGAAATACAGATGAACAACAAAATAACTACAGGATTATGTAAACGCATTTAACATGGAGATAAATATAATGATGCAGGGAGTCAAACTAATGATCAGAACATAAAAGAACATAACGATGTTTTGGGTTACCGTGATAGTGTAGTAGTTACGGTGACGTGAAGGTGGCGGGTTAAATCCCGGTCGCAACTGTCAGGTTTTAATTGAAGCAAAATGGTTGAGACACGTGTATTGTGAGGTATGAATGCCCATTAAAAAACACCAAATTATTGATATTGCAGCAGCACTCTATTACGGCGCTCCTCATAATCATATTGTGGTTAAATGTTAGACTGTTGATGTAAAAAAATATTATTTCGGGCAAACTGCGTAATAAATAACGTTGGCATGCCCTTAATCGATAGCCCATTTGTTTGAACATAGCAGGTATAAATATTTAGAGTATCAAACAGATGCTTATATGGAGTTTTCTAGACCTAAATGGGAGTACAAAAGCGTTAATCAAACAATCTTGCTAGAAATGAGTAGGCATAGAGAACGACAATGTCCATATCTACACGTATGTACCACCTGTTTCAGCTCATAATGGTATTAGCATAAAAATTTGAGAGTTGAATTCCTTCAGGCTACCAAGCCTCCCAAGTTATGACGCTCTCTTTAAGTCACGAAAATTGGTTCTCGTTGTAGTATGCAGAAAAGTGAGTGCTTTTATTTGTATGTGCCTATTTCGGAGTTCGGATTTACCTCGCGTGTCTTTCTGTACTTGACCGCAGATCACATGCCACAATTTATGAAAGAGATTTGCTTGTTACTATTTTTGTCCTGGTGATTCACCACGAAGCTTCACTGCTGCTTCAGAAATCATAAATCAGCATAACTCGACTTTCATTTACAGTTCCTGAAAAATTCGTAAACAGGAGTTGTGTTGAGCCGACGTTCTGACACAACCCCTGTTTACAGATTTTTTGTCGCAAGCTTCCATTTTCCCCCTCCTACCGTTTTGAGATTTACTATTTCTGTGGCACTATTTTCTGTAAATACTGTATAATGCTCATAACTTGTCTGTGCATGCCTTGTCACTGCTAAGCACACTAATTGTTTGTCCTACCACCCCTCTTATGTCCTGCACAAATAGATTCACATTTGTCTAAGAGTGGCCTGCTAAACGCTTCAGCTGCCGTGTTCTCCAGAAATGCGCAAAGACCAATGTCATAATCATACCAAACATGGTCAAATGTACTTCATGCTGGGTCCTTGTGCTATAATTCAAGCACGAACAGGTAGATGCTGCGGGCGACAAGAAAGTCGACAGCCACGCGATCCGCTGCTCTAGACAAATGTGATTATATCCATACTATGAGAACCTACACTGTAGTTTCTGTTGACATTGAGTGCCACCCTGGCGAGTGCGATTGGAAATATTTGGCCTTACGAACAAATGCTAAAGTTAACCAAATGCTAAAGTTAAAAATATTTTTAATAACAGAACAAAAAATCCAGAACATGCATAGTTGACTCCTTTCGGCATCGATTTCCATCAATGCACATGTGCTGGTGCTCTGGAAAATATTACAAGTCTTTTAATTAAAACCTGCCTTGAAAATGTTCAAGAAATCACATGAAAACTTTTGTTGTGCAAGCATTGCATCTCATACTGTATTACAGATACCGTATTTATTCTACTGTAATACAGCCATGATTGTAACATGAAAAGTGACATTTACTTACATCTAGAAAGAAAAAAAAAGTTGAGTTGCGCTACTCGGTACGGGAGGGTCGACTCTAGTTGCAAAAATAAAAAATATTAAAGAAAAATAAAAGCTCGCGTCAAGTTCGTGTAAATACGGCATTAGATCTGTCACGTTCACAGTTCCAGGCTGGTTACGAGACGATTATTGCTAGGAAAACCCTGATAATCCACGCATATTGCATCACTGATCACACATTGCATGTTAACCATGGAATCACAACAAAGTCAATTACCGCCAGGTTGTTCAAAGGCATTCTTTTTTTTAAAGTATCAGGCTTAGACGACGACAGACCTTAAGCTTGCGAACAGCCCTGAAGATGGCGGGGAGTTGACTATGTTAAAGCACAACTGCTGCGACATGTTTGCATTTCGGCTAACATTGCTATTCTTCGCATTACACTGGCCTTTCATGTGAAAGTTGCCTTAGACATTCATTTCACGATTCACCGTCAGCTTCAAAAACTGATTTGAAAGACTGAGATGCGAGAATTTGTGGGTTCACGCTAGTCATTGAACATACCATAAGGAAGAGGGCATAGGGAAACAGTTTCTGTTATATATAGTGCAAGAGCTGTGACTACCAACTACGTAAATGTAATATCCTCGTTCAAAATAGCTGTCACTGGGCCGAATGCTACTTCTGTGGTGCCTGAGAAACTACGAATTTTACTTTAAAGCGAGTGCATAACAAGCAACCAGCACACTACATTGAGCTTTGCAAGCGCTATTCGAACACACTTACTTGTAAGTTTTCGCCATACAATGCTTGGCATACATCGACAAGTCACACTGTTTCTTCCCCGTCATAGACGTACTTAAAATCAAACAGCGTCCGTCCTTTCGACAGCACGGTCACGCGAAAGTATCTAACCGCGCACAACACATCGCTGAAATGGTAGGAAAGAATAATTATTGGAATCTGTGCTCGCTCGCTGCGTCCCAGTTTTCAGTGAAGTGTCCAATTCTTCCTTGTTATTGCGCCTGCCCAAGTACCTACAACATGAGGAACACAGGGCAAAGCTGGAGGTATGCAGAACGGAGTTCACCATGGGTTTCAGTGCAAGCGACGTGTACGAGGGCACAGTAAAACATGCCCAAAGTACACCCTGTGGTGCCTCTACCCTACTAGCTGGTTCTCAGCCAGCTCGCCAGGGCAGCGCATCATGTAAATTTTAAGTGTGCATGAAGGAAGGGTAGGTGCCCCACATGAGCAGCGCTGTTTTCCCATAACATCAACTATGTAACGTGCTTCGTTTTGCTTCGCTGAGTGTGAGGCGATTGGCTTTAGCTGGTCTAGACATAGGTACTGCTTTATTGAAAGAACTTATTATTATTGTTATTATTATTTTTCTTCCTATTTCCTCACTGAATCACAGACGAATCTTGCCACCAGCTGGATCGACGCTTCGTACGTGTACAGCACGAGCGAGACGTGGGCGAACACGATGCGCTCTTTCGAGAATGGTACCTTCCGTGTGGGGGAAAACGGCTTGCCACCCAAGAACAAGGAGCGCGTCCCGCTCTTCAACTCACCGCCCGCGCGCTACCTGGGCGTCATGAACCCGGAGCGCATGTTCAGTGAGTACTTGCTTGCTCTGATTGGGAAACCTCACCAAATAATGATTCCAGGAAGCCTGTGCTAGTATGTGTACGAGTTTTTTTTTCTGGCATAAGCTTGGGCTAAGTGACAGTGGTAATTCAAGATTTCGTGCGCACGCCGCACGCGCGCTATATTGTAGGCCATTCATAAGTGCCATCTGGCAGATTACTGCCAGATGGCGCTTCTGTCTCACACAGCGCCTCCAGTATCCCATTCACCGGTTTTCTCCCACAGAGCATCAAATAAATGTTTTTTTCGCTCTCTCCAAACGAAAGACAATCATCTTTCGGTGATGTTTGTGAAACATGCAGATACAGGGCAATTTTTTAACGCTTTCCTGGAGACTGCATTATGGCTGCACAGGCGTTTGAGCCACTCTATGTTAAACCATAGAGTTAATATACAGACTCTAGAGAAAAAGCTGGGCCGGGGAAGCTATAAACAGCAAAGAGTGCTGACATCTTGGGACATTGTCAGTGTTTTCATCACAATACTTCAAAGAAGTAGTAAATTTGGATTTTTGAAATATATACTCATGTTTTTGCAGTTTTTGAAGGAAGAGGCGAGCCACTGTTTATGCTCAGCAGGTCAGCAAGTCTATTAGGCCACACATGCTCCTGAGCACACGCCAGAGGCCGCAGCTGCTGTGAGGTGTAACCTAGCAGAGCAATACCGGCTGCTCCCGCGCTCTACACAGACATGGATGCCAAGTTTCACAAAAGGTTCCTGACGGACGTTACTATTAGTTGTTCGGGTGGGAAACATGCAGTGGTCGAAGAAAATGAGGGTGCATTCACCTATGTGAAAAGCAGTTATGTTTTGGCCCAGCGCTCACTGCTTGCTCGTGCATTTCATGAAGTATTTCACAAACGGTGATCTTTGTCTTTTGAATAACGCAGTTCTGGGTGATCCACGCACAAACCAGAATCCAGGCCTGCTGGCCTTTGGAATTCTGTTTTTTCGGTACCACAACGTGCACGCCCTACGCATCAAGGAGGAACATCCAGACTGGACTGACGAAGACATTTTTCTGCATGCCAGGAGGCATGTAATTGCCGCTTTGCAAGTAAGTGAGCCTTGTAACTGTCTCCTTCTAGCTGCTTATTGCTCACTGAAATGCCTAAAGGCACAAGCCGTAAGAAAAGTTGGTGCTGCCTATTGAAAGGCAGCACTCATGCCATGGCGTTCTTGGCACAGAGCCAGGACAGTTCAGAAAATGCGAGCGGATTGGTGCAGCTGTTCAAGTTTAAACGAAACCACCAATAAGGCAAAAAGAAATCAATAAGGCAAGAAGAAGAATGTTATTCGGTTGATCATGGCTGTGATACTAATGAATAATAAACACGGAAGAATGTTACTCTAGGCCACAAGTTACCTCTTTTACTTTTAAACAATACAGCAGACTTCATTTGTTGTTTTAATTCCTTACAGGTAAAGCACTTCCCAGGTGAAAATTTTCTTCTGTATGGCTATTGGTTCCAGCATTGCTGCTTTATTAGGACATCTCTGTAGGTCATAGAACCTGCAGGCGATGAAACCAGCAGGCAATGAAACCAGCAGCTGATGGAACCACTAGCTGATGGAACCAGTAGCTGGCGGTTGTTGCGCAGTGTTTCAGGCAGTCGGCCAACTTGTTACTCAAGGACATGGAACACATTTCCAAACAACAAAACTGGCAATAAGCTTAATTCAAGTTGCATATTGTCAGCTGCAAGCTTTATTGTAGCTCAAACCAGCTGAAATACGACCTGCTTCTAACTGGAAGGTAGTCTCTTCGCAGCTGAACAATTATCACATTCCAGTTTGGTAATACTTAGTACAGTGGACTCCCAATAAACGAAACTCGCTTAAACGAAAATGCCTCATTGAATGGAACTAAATGGGCTCATATGGCTGGATTTCTGTGTGTTGCACAGTAAAATTCATCGGTTAATTGAAACAGTGCTTATTGGTCACCTACGGTTTAATGGCACAAACTCTAAACACAGCATAGACTCGCTCATGCCAAAGGTAGTCTCGCAACCATAGCAACACCTTGAGATGGAGACAAGCCAATTCAGTAGCCATTCTCGCTTGTGGCTGTGGGTAGAGGTGTGCGCCGAGGGGTCAGCGCTACGTCGCTACCGCCGACGCCAACCGATCGGCGTGCCATTTAAATAGGATTTTTTTTCAGCCTACGTTTATTTTGCACCTTCTGGCACCAGTTTGGCCTTAATTCTGTCCACATCGCAAACGCATCGAAATCAGTTCACTTGCAATTTCAAGTTAAATAAGTGGACAATAACAAAAAGCTTCTCGAGTGCTCCTTGAATTAGATTTAAACGTGAATTTTAAGATACTTTTGAATTCACTGTATTTCAGTTAATCCCGATTGGTGACAGCGCTGATGGTGGTGTTTGGCGAGGACTGTCGACATATTCTAGCTGACGAGAATATGTATTATCTGAGGTGGGCTTTGAACAATGTTGAAAGGTGTGGAAAGTCGGTTCTGGAATATTTATAGTTATGACTGTGCAAGCGTGTCGAAGAATAAAGGCAGTTCAAATGCAAAAGATGGGGGCCAGAACTGGCGACAGACAGGGTAGAATCACGATGTGTATGGAAGATATTGTTATAACTGAGGAAGGGATAGCTGTTTAGGGCATATTAACAAAAAAAAGTAAAAAAAACTGGATCACATGCATGGCCTTTAATAAAAAAAGAAAGGTAAAATGACCATTATTATACGAAATTCTCTATCAAACAGACGAGCCCCATTGGATCGCCAGGTGGAGCAGATCAATAATATTGGACGAAATGGTGATCACCATAAATTAAGTTTGTGTGAACTGTGAAGTAACGCACAAAAGATTAATGCAGACAAAACACAAGCGTGGGCTTGTATTTCCAACGTGCTTTGTCCTGCACACCGCGCGATGCTCCATTCCGCGCTATCAAACCAAGTAATCGGCTCTCCTTCACCAGTTTCTATCTTGAACGTACTAATTCAACCAACTCTAGATGCAGATTTGTCACAACCATGTTTCAAGAAGGACTCCACATATGTAGCTAGCTCGGCGAGTTGGTTTATAATCTTTTCGGAAGAACAAACAAAGGAGCTCAACCTGACAAGACATCGAGGAAAATGTTTATGACGGAAAGTCCACAAACGCATGTACCAGCAGCACACTCATGAAAAATAGGCTGAGGTGTTCCACAGCTGCACACCAAACACTACAAAGACAAGAAGCGTGTCAAAATGGTACAAACAGCACATTGCCATTATCAACGCCACATGCACCCGCTATTTAGCAATGCAAATTCTTTACCTAGCTGCAAGGACAACTGAAGGATCACTTATGCATGCGTTGCACTTTGCCTTTTTTTGTTTTTAGGGCTTCAAAATCTTCACGTTCAATCTAGATCTTTCTTTGCCAATGACACTGATATATTGGGGATGCAGAGGATAGTGAAGAAGTCAGTTTTGTGCCTGAAGGTTGTTCACACAGCATACAGATGTCACTAGGCCTCGACCAGTCAGATATCTGTAAACACGGCCGCATGACAAAGGAATTTCTTTCAAATCATGTCATTGGCAATGGATAAAAAAGATTGAACGCAAAACTCGTGAAGCCATCCGAATAAAAACAGATTGAAGTGTCATGTGTGAGTGATCCCCCAGCTTTCCTCACAGATAAAGAACTCGCGATATAGATAGCGGGTATACTTGGCATTGATATTTTGGTGTTCCATGGAAATCAGCTGCTTCATACCACCTTCAAACATTTGTTTGATAAAAATGTACAGTTAATTGTGCAACTGTGGTTTAGATGACCGTTTTAAGCATGTGCTTCTGGTTCATTTTTGTAGGCATCTCTTTAATAACATTTAGTATTAGGTCCAGCACTTGTATTTCCTGGTTACTACGCTGCATTGATGTTTTTCGTTGGTTTCTTACGTAGATCGATAAAGATAATTCCTATTATCGTCATGTAGGCATAGCTACCATCCTTCCATTCTTCCTCATTATTCTATATTTCATCATCGTGAACGCACACGAAAGGTCTTCACCAACGCGTGCCGTGAACGAGAGATGTGTTCCGATTATAAGTCTGCAAACTTACTGATGAGCCTATCAGAGGAATTGGAAGACTCAGATTGAGGTGTGAGTCAGACCCTGAGGGAGTCCGGCTGAGTTATACTTACGTTAGCCTCAGTCCTGGTTAGCCCGGCTGAGTTTTACCACTGTGAGTTCGAGCGAGTTCCTAGTTTGATTCGGCAAGATTTTGCTTAGTCTGGGTTGTTGTAAGTGCTATGCGAAAAAAAAAAAATTTAATGAGGGCATCTTTTTATTTTGATGACCGATGGTTACAAATATTTATAATCTCATTTTATGGCGTGCCTTGTAGTCGTGTATGTGCCGGCTTGTAATGCCACAGAATTGATTTTCCAAATTGTAAATCTGTCTAATTCTCCACATTTCTGGAGCTCGTTCCATTAAAGGTCCTTAACCACTTGCCCACATCTTCGAATAGAAGTGCTGATAACCTTTACCTAAAGGCACGGAATGAAATAGTGACATAAAAGCACCAGTGAGATTAGATATTGACATTAAACTGCTAACATGAGCAAGAAGCTAATGCACACTGCCTACTTCCAAAGTGCACAGCTATTTGTAACTTTGTTTTCAGCGTATTTGGTAGTGGAGCTAATGCCGTTTGCACCGGCGTGATTTCACAATTTGAATTTAGAATTTCAAATTAGACGTCAGAGGTTTATCCTAAAAAACCTGTAAGTTTTAGTGAAGTAATAGTGATTTTATGCATTGCACTGGCTTAAACTTTAATGCTAATAGGTAATGCATTTATAGTGTACACCGTTCGCAGACTATGACAAAGTATAATGAGCAATTTATGCTCATGCATGCTAGAAAACTCGTATGGTCTTTTCTCAGAGAAGAACACATATCGGAATAACGAGAGGAAAGACTGAACAATTTTTTGTAACTTCATTATTATGTATCTAGTGTGATTCACAATTGTTCAAAATAAATGAATATGCCTTTAAGAGTGCATGAAAGTAGCTTGTGCAGCATGTCCTGAAACATAAGTAACTCAGGGGAGTTTCATTACGCAACATTGTGATTTACATTGGGTTTGATCTACAATTATGTACGAGCCCCGCCACGGTGGTCTGGTGGCTAAGGTACTCGGCTGCTGACCCACAGGTCGCGGGTTCGAATCCCAGCTCCAGCGGCTGCATTTCCAATGGAGGCGGAAATGTTGTAGGCCCGTGTGCTCAGATTTGGGTGCTCGTTAAAAGAACCCCAGGTGGTCAAAATTTCCGGAGCCCTTCACTACGGCGTCTCTCATAATCATATGGTGGTTTTGGGACGTTCAACTCCACCTATCTATCAATCAATACAATTATGTACGAAACCAAAGGAGAATGAGCACTGTATTCCACCTTCATAAATCATGCGGCTTGCAAGGTGACAGGGCAGCAGGATTCACGAGCATCGAGCACCCCTTCACTCTCTCCTGCATTGAACTGCTTGTCCTCAGACGCCGCTTCCATTTTTGCATGAATAAATGTGGCGACTTGAAAATTACGAAGCACAAAACAACATATTCACAAGAACGAGAGAGACGGGCTGGGCGCTTCTGAATGCCCTTTTGAAGAATTGCTCTGCGCTAAAAAAATTTCTAATAGCAATGCGCCATCTCGACGGATGAACATGCTCTAACCCCAATTTTTGCCCGATCAAATGCTTTTAAATATAGTTTTTTTCCTAGAACTGTCGATGACTGGAATTGTTTGCCGTGTGACATCTTTCATTCTAATAAGTTTCTTGGTGACCTTGAGTGTCACCTTCTTTCTTAACCTTTTGTTTCTTTTGTATTATTGTCTGTTGTTTTCTTCAATTACGTTTTGATGTATCCACTCCTGCTTGGGCCAGCACATTGGCCTGCAGTATTGTGAAATAAATAAAATAAAATTTCAAGTTTTGTTAAAAATGTAGTGACAACACATGCTATCAGCTTTTATATCACTTTCTGCATTGTGATACGTTGAAAGCTTTCCGAG